CCCCAAAACCCCAAAACCCCAAAACCCCAAAACCCCATGCCTTTGAAAACTAATGTATTTTAAGAAAAATGAAATATTGAATTGATGATAACAATAATAATAATAATAATTTAGATGGAAAAAAAGAATAAAGATGTTGTTCTAATACAGCTTGCTAATGGACAGATGCTCTCCAAGTACATCTTCATTGACATTTTAGGCAAAGCATTTTCTCGAGATACAGTTGAGAAACTACTCCAGATGCTTTCTAAGAGTACGCATATCTTAATGAAGGAAAATAGCAATGTCATAGAAATGCTTACAGTATCTCTTTCTTCTTTTCCTCTTCCTCAGTTTCATAAAGTAGAAAAGAAAATTTCCCACATATCTGAACGACCTGAATACTCGGCTATTGGGAGATGGAATGAAAACTGGGTAGTTGGTGGGAAGCATCTATACTCTCACTATATTAAGGTACTGAGTGAAGATCTCAAATTAGAAGCAAAGTATCCGATTTCACATGCAATTTATTGCTTGATCATTGTTCAAGACATAGCTTGTCTAGGATGCCAACACGGTCTCAAGCTTTTGGACCTCAAAACTTCCTCTATAGTTGAATTCTAAAAGATCTAACAGCCAGTAATGACTATTCTGCCAGATCAAAGAAACCAAAGCATCATTATATCTGTCAGTGGAAACGGAATTGTTTAGGTGGTAGATCTGAACAAAAAAGTACTTGTATACAGAGTGAAAGTGTGTGAAAAAGTAAATAGCATGGTTTACACTTCAACTCCAAACAAATATGCCTTTGCGACCAACAAAGGTGTGATTTTCGGAATACTTGATCCTTAGCAGGGCTATAAGTATACAAAGGACAAAGATGAAGCGTACTTCGATGGCTAAGCTATAGACTACATTGCTGAAATTGATGGAAAATATCTTGTGATCACCTCACATTGGGAGTAAGTAATTGATGATGACACAAGCTGGGGTTGGAGGAATGAAATCTAATACTCTTCAACTCTAATTGACCGGGAGACCAAGAAAGATATCAAATTCAGCGATGAAATATCGAAAGTCTACAGTATGCAGCAAGTTAAGGGAAGAAAAGACCTATTGATGGCATAGATGAACGGTCTCTGCTTTCTTGACATTAAGAATCTGAAAGTTACTCATTTATACAGCAATGGCTATTTTGACTAAGATTTTACAAGCACTTTCTGTTAAGTGGACAACGGGAGTAGACTGTAAATAGGGATTGTCTCGTACGATAAAAATGTTTCAGCTGTGAAAGTTTGCTCTTTAAAATATTGATATTCTTTCCCTAATTCCATGAGCAGAATCTTGTAAATATATAATGCTGATTTAATGCTTTCCATAATTATAAATATTTCGAAAATCTTATTAAAATCTGGGGTTTTGGGGTTTTGGGG